CAGCCCACTTAATACAGTTTACCTTTTTTCTGGCCTGATTTCAGTCGAGATGAAACAGATGGTAGGTGGTGCAGATGGTATATAGTGAGACGGCACCAAGCCAACAAAGGCAGTGTCTGGGCTCTTTTGTTGCCTCTGTCGGTGATGGTGAAGCAGCTCTGACTCCCTCTGTGCAAATCCACAATGATCTCACAGGCCAGGGGAAATCCAAACTGATGTTTATACAGAGAGATTAAGGGTACCAGCATGAAAGAGTTCAGCATTCGTAGATAAACACACACACACAAATGAAAACAGGCTCACTTCAAAACAAGCGACTTTAACTGGGTAATAGAAATAACCTTTGTGTTTGGACATGACATAAGCAAATTCACTTCTCGTTGGTTTTTCTATGTGAACTTTGAAATGTAAAAAAACGTTCCTGATTAAAACATGAGGCTGTTTTTCTTATGGAAACAGGAACATGCTTTAATATTTTACTTCAGAACTGGTTGAGTAGGTTAGAATGTATTCTGTGTTCACGGTTTCAGTATTTATTATCAGTTATTATACACATTAACTTGTATTATTTGAGATTAAAATTATATGTTGGTTATAAGGTTATCTGTTAAATTTTAACACATGTATTATGTATGGCTGGGTGATTTGGCCTAAAATCTAAATCTTGATTAATGGAACATTTTAACTCGATTACGATAAATGAGCAATTATTTTATTTATTTTTTGCCCTCATAGTTCATGGACAAGTTTTGCACTGTAAATCTGCTCACATATTACAAGTGATAGACTTTTGAATAAAGGGCGCATTACTTGCTTTTGAAATAATTGAAGGAAACACAGGAGGGAAGAAAGAAATCTACTATCTATGATTATTTACTGAACAGCAATATGGAACAACTGAAATTAAAACATACATTGGCTAAAAATAACTTTTTTATTAAAAAAAAAAACAGTGAAAAAAATTATTTGCTCTTTTGGAAACATAATAAATTATTGTCAATGTTCTTTACAATAAAAGTAGAAAATAAGCAGTATCTCACCTAAATAAAATAACTCTTGCATATCCTTTAATTAATATTTTAAACAGTGCATTTCTTACATCTTCTGTAAACAAATACTTTCATGTAAATAATCATTTTAATAAAATGGAAAAGTGGAATCTCAAGGCATTTCTGACACAGCTTCCAATCATTGACAATTTAGTACAAAGTACGGCTCAAGAATGAGTCCATCGTCCTATTTGACCAGAGATTAGATGGCCGCAGAAGTATAATACAGTGCGGCTCCACATGCAATAGGGAAAGTAATTGAAAAAATCAGTCTGGAAAATTTCAATCGATTATAGGTTCTGAATCACGATTTAATTTACTTTTCGATTAATTGGCCTGACCTAGTATTCTGTGTACAGAAATGGATAAAAAAAAGACTATTTAAAAAATATTTTCTCAATTATTGGATTTATTATAGGTAAAGATTCATTTGTTTTTTTTTTCTATTGATATCCAGTAACATATATTGAATAAAAATTTTCATTTTGTTTTTTTTCATACTTGACTGAAGTTTGAAGTTTATATATTTCTATTATTAAACTGAATGACATTTAAGTAGGCTGCTTATATTTAAAAATAGGATTTACTCAAGGTAAGCAATGGTCAATACAGGAACAAATGAATGTATATGGGCAATCCAGAGTCGTGGTTGATAAACAGGCAGATGGTCAAAAGGCAGGCAGCATACAAAGTAAACAAGCAGACAAACAAGATGGGGTCAAAACCGGCTAGAAAACCGCGTCGTAATGTTCTTAATTCAGTATAACAAGGCTCAGAAAAGAGGTGTGTGCGCGCGCTGTATTTAAAGTCCATCTAATCAGTCTTTGAGCAGCTCCCAGCTGTGTGAGTGTAATTAATCGTGATCTAGAACAGATGTGTGTGTGTGGTGCATGACTAGAACTTGTAGTCCATATGCCAGCAGATTTGTAGTTCTTTAGCGATCTGCCAGGATTAAGCTGCAGTCACACTGCAATTTTCTCCCCATAGACTTTTGTTCATACGCACACAAATGTGTCAGACCAGAAATGCAAACTTCGCAGTTCACTGCATTGGAAAGCTCAAGATTGAACAAGACTGACCTGCGGAATTGCATCGCATGATTTTGTGAGACCAATCGAAGATCAAAACATAACCTCTCTGGACAGAAATTTAAAACATGGAGCAATCGCTCACTTTTTTTAAATGTGTAATCATCTTCTATAATCCTGCCACTTTTCACAATGCCGTACAACAGAATTTCGCACACACAAACTCTAGTGTGACTGTAGCATCAGATTGCTGGCGATTGTGACACAATCACTTATCTTAATTTTTTTTGTAAATACAAATAATGTTTTTTTAGTGTAGAAAATAGAATTGAGGAGTGTGTGAGTGTGTGTTTTCTCCCTATAATAGGCCCCATCACATGACAAACCCAAACCTCATGCATCATGTCATTTTAAGCATTTTTTCGCTCCATATCTACTTCTCTCTTTTTTTTGTACCTATGTAAGCTTTCTGTTTCTTTTCTCTGTCCCTCATCGTGCTGTGGTAAGTCAGGAGTTGTTTCTGTGTCATTGTGGTGTCTGCTCAGCAGCAGCGATTGCATGATGTCTGCAGTATTACATGTTTCTGGTCAGCAGTCAGTTAGCAGTCGAATAACAGATGGGTTTACCAGCATCTTCCAAACAGATGGAGATCCTCAGCCCTGTTTCATTAAAATTCATTCAGAGACCCAGTCAGCCGTTCGCGACCCATGATTGGTCACTGAGCTGTCGCCATGGTTATTTGATTGACTAGTGACTTGCTGTTTAAAGCTGGTCCCATGGGGGGCTGTGGTCATTTCTAGGACTGTCAGCGTTGTAAGTGTTGAATTATACGGGTTTATTAATAGCTTAGAGCGACTCAGGGTTGCCTTAATATGATTGTACTACCACAAGTCCACTGCATAAAAAAGAAATACAACAGAATTATAATAGTAATCTTTGTTAGTAATGTTAGCAAATGTGACCACATTATAGAAATGAAGTAGAACCACACTTGATATTGAATTCTGAAAACTCCTAAGAGTTTGATTGGGTTTAATGTGCTATATCTTTAAGGATTATGCAACTCCTATCAAATGTCTAGTTGTATCCCACCCATGTATTTACACCATGTTTACTGGAGCGGTTCAAATGCTTAGCAGGAAGGAAGGAAACACAAGTGAAAGATAACAGATAAATTAGTCAAAAAATGTGATTTTTTGCTAAACCTTAAATGAGAACATTCCAGTTCTCCACCCTTGAGTTCACAGGGAAAGACATAATAATCCTGACAGGCCTATACTGATTGAATTGTTACATACTTACAGCCACTAGAGGTCACCATCAGCCCCAATGTGCACATGCAGTTTTGTTTAGGCACGGATCACCAAACTTGTTCCTGGAGGTCCGGTGTCCTGCAAATTTTAGCTCCAACCCTAATCAAACACACCTTAACAAGCTAATCAAGGTCTGACTAGCTAGCCAACAACACCCAGGCAGGTGTGTTGAGACAAGTTGGAGCCAAACCCTGCAGGGACAACGGCCCTCAAGAACCACGATTGGTGACCCCTAGTTTAGAGGGTATTCAGAATAAAAAATAAAGAAACATGGAAGTGCAGTATTGTTTGCATACCTGTAGTTGCATAAACTATATGTTTGTATTGAGGAATTTACATTTTTTTTGCAGAAAGCATTTTCAGTTAGCTACACTGTAAAAAGCGATTAGTTGAGTCTACTTAAAAAAGCGAGTAAACCCTTTGCATTAAAATGAAGTGAATGAACTGTGAATGAAATGAAGTGCAGAACTAACTTAACAGTTTTAAGTTACATTATATTTACTCCCTTGTCACTTTATAAGGCAACTGGTGTAATCACTCTTTTACTGTAACTGAAGGAACTCACTTTTTGCAGTGTAGTTTGTATATTTATGCTTCACTCCACCTGTGAAAATTGTTAGAAAGATTTCAATCCTTCCTTCCTGAATAGCTTTTGAATGAATCACTCATGATTCACTCATCAGTTGTTTAGGCAGAGGGATTTCTATACTGAGATAATCATATGTTCTAGCCACTGAACTTAACCCTCACTATAAATCTTTAGCGTTTTCACACACAAAAAAAAAAAAACTAGTATGATTTATAGGCTACAAGTTGTGCCATGTGTGTGTTTATTGTTGTCTGTACTCTTATCTATGTGTATATATTGGTTATCCTACATTGTGAACACAAAGAACTGTAAAAGCTGAATATTTTGGCATTGTTAAAAGTTGATTCTAGTGCTCATGAGGGGGAACACCATGATGTATTACATTACACACACACACACACCCCCACACACACACGTTTCTAAGATTTGAAGGGGCTTTCCATTTACCATTGCATTTGCATTATCATTTTCCATCAATATTTTCTCCCTCATGTGCACTAGAATCCACTTTTAACAATGCCAAAATATTTAGCTTTTACAGGTCTTTTGTGGTCACGATGTAGGATAACCAATTAGAGTACGCGCTGGTAAACACGACATGGCAGATGACTTGTTGCCACCTATTGGTGAAATTAATATTTATCATCAAGTTTAAATGGAAGGTCATAAATAATACTTTATTGTTTTCACACACACACAAACAAAACAATAACATTCCAGCAGGTTTGAAATTCAGTATGTTCCAAAAGAGAAAGCTTCTTCTAGATATACTAAAATATATCTCAGCAGTTGAATATTCACATTACTTACTTTTACTCCCAGGGCCATTTATATCGAAATTCATATTTAGCCACACCATATTGATGTTTCGTAACATCTAGTTTTTCATGAGGTGAGTTGTTAGCCCAACGCTCAACACAAGGAGAACATGCAAACTCCACATAGAAATGCCAACTGACCCAGCTGGAGCTTGAACCAGCGACCTTCTTGCTGAGGCGACAGTGCTACCCACTGCACCACCATGTCGAATATTCACATTCAAATATTTTATTAAAACATTTATATTGGGTAATGCAAACAAAAGCATTTTATTTCCGAGTGTACACAAACTTAAACATTACACAAAGCAGATCAATTCAAATTTTAATCAGTCACAAGGTTGAAAGATAATATTTTATTATTATATTTATATTTCTGTCTTTGATTAAGATCAAAGAAATGCAGTACATAACGAGAAGCATTTAGTTTTAAAGGGGGTAACATGCACATTTTGATAAATATTACATAAATCGAGAAAATTGAGTACCCATAGATTGCATCCATATTTTTCTCAAAAGTCTTTAGCTTTCTATTACTTAAAGGTGAAAATAAAACTAGAACTTGCTGTTCTGTGCTACTGTAGGATTTATAATGAGAAGTAGCCATACTGGGAGTTCCACCCATGACATCATCTGCTATGTTTGAAAAAATATATATATATCTAAAAGTAATATCAAGGCGGTGGTTAAATTTCTGACAAAGAATACTCTGTCATCGTAGTTTTTTCAGCTCTATGATTTGTGTGATGATTCAACTTTTAAACACTATACAAAATACAGCCCCCCAACACACACAGATGGAAACATCAATGTAATGACCAAAATGTAATTGATTTTTTAATGATAAAAAAGTCATCAATCACTCAATCGTGAACTCAGCACTGTACTGCCTCATCCGAACTCAATCCACACATCTTTTTCGTCCGTTCAAGAATATAGTATCGCAGCATGTGAAAAAAACCTGTTTGGATATAGAAACATTGAAATGTTGATTGATTGATTGATTGATTGATTGATTGATTGATTGATTAGAAAATAGCCTATATAGAAAGACTGTTTTGATGAGGTGTTTTATTTTTTTCTGATGTACTTCTAATAACTGTTGACTGCTTTTTCCTTTTTTATGCTGATATCTGTGCATTATATTTCACACGCATATGGAAGGTGACTAAATATTGACATTAAAACACAAAAGATACTGAGTCATTAACAGTTTAAAAAGTCAAAAAAAGACAATTATAATTTGAAGGAGAACATTGATGTTTTGCAAACTGAACTGACCTGAAACTAAATTATTAATAATAAACTTGCGGGTCTTAATTTACGTCCTGCGACAAAATTATTTTTATTATAATTTTAGTGATCTGCTTGAGGTAATTCAATTTATTTTTATGCTTTTGATGAAGTGGCACTTAACTCAAGTGCCCTTTAGACCATGCGCTGGACAGTTTCTCCATGTTTCGTTGGTAATGTCTTTAAAAAATTTATTATTTAGGCCTATTTAATTATTGGTTTATTATTTATGTATTAATTAAGACATAAAATGAGATTGCAACATATAATAAACAATGAAAATGTAGATGAAAACTGTAAATGAAGTGTAAATGAAAAAGCTTATTTTTTAAAATACTACTTAAATACTTAAAATTCTACTTCAAAATAACAAACACTACATCTCTATATTTAGGCTAAAACGTAGCTTTATTTATTTAGGCCTGCTTATTTGTGTATGTGTGTATGTTTGTATTTTCATTTTAGTTGTCTTTTATTTCTTAAATTTTTCCAAAATTAATCCACATTTCACTTAAGTTTACAATGATAATAGAGCCTGTTAACAAGTTTTTAATGAAGGAATTGTAATGCTTTGTTTCATTATTTCATTTTTATTTACAAGTAGCATGTTATTTAGCTACTGTATATTTCTGTCCGTTCGCATCCTGTTCCTTTGTCTCCCCCGGTGGCATAGGCGCAAACTGCGGTTATACCTAAAAACACGTTCTTAAAGTGCCATGAAACCCCCTCGTTTCAGCAGGGTGTTTTCACACCTCTACTTTGGAAAAAGTCAGAAAAGTGGGCGTGTCCAGCTCTGTTTAGGGGGAGTGTCGGAGGAACTAAAGTGGGATGGTGTGGGAGTGTCTATTTGGGCACGCGCGAGTTTCAGTCAAAATACACACACATGAGAAAGTGATGGTGTTTAACCTACATTGACATGTGTAGTCGAATTATTTGCCAAATTATTAAATGCTGGACTTTAACTGCAGTTTGGCTCTTTCATTCAGGGAATTCATTCATGCCTCTCGCGACAAACGCGATATTTGATTCGAGGAGCTGCTCTAAGCGTGTATTTTTCATGCAACGTTTGATACCGCACGGCGAATGAGAGAAAAAAACCCTCCGCATTTCCCGGAAACTTAAATGCACACGGCAGGTAGCGTCAGAAAGCCGCGTGTGTTATTCCGGTCACAAAATGCGGTGCTATGTTTGCACTCAGTGCAATAGTTAACTTTATTCGATACGAACAAACTGAATAAACAAAGAGCACTGGTCGCTCACTTACCAAATCTTTAGAGACAGGACAATCACCAGCAACTAAAGCCGCGTCTTTATGAAGAGGAGACTAACGTTACAAGCGAATCCGGATTTCAGCGTTTGCAGATGAGAACAGCTCTTAGGTAAACAATAATCCTCCTTAGACACGTAAGTTATTGTTGTCGAGCGTCGCGTACACCGTTAATCCACACATGATCCAGCTGAGCTCTTACAGAGAGAAAATGAAAACGAAACTTAATGGCAGCAAACTATAAAAGTAACACTTCACGCTTGTTTTGCCAACACAACGTGGCGTCTCTGTCCTGAAAACACTGTGATAGTAATGAATATTAATGAAGTTGCACAATAGAGCGCGCTGATTGGTTTGAACCAAGCCTTACTCATGCATTAATGCATCACACTGTAAGACGTAATAAGACTCACTCTGGCACATACGCCCAGTCTGCACGCTGGAATACACGCTATTATGTCATGACCGTGACGCAGCTTCAAAAATTAGTTTCAAACAGGAAGTACGAATTTGCTTGAAATAACGCAAAAACAACCAATTTACACTTTTTAGTGAAATATAGGTGTCCTAATAGTGTTTTTAGCAGTGTGGGACACATATATGACTGTCAACAGCTCAAAAAATGTGTTTTGGTGTTTCGTGACCCTTTAATCCTTTAGTGCAGTGGCGGTGCCACTTGCAGCGGTAATGCTCCTTTTAAAGTGTCACCCTATGTATATCACTAAATGGCTTCTTATAGCAATCTAATGACTTTCTGTTTTTTTTTTTACAATAACACTGACAAGACCAATATTTGAACTTTCTTACATTTTTTAAAGTATTCATCATGTATCTGTAGAAAAAAACTCACCTTGGCAGGAAGTGATAATGCAGAAAAGGAAGAGCATGGTTTCTGAAAGAGGGCCAAAGTTGAAAAGACCTAGGCCCAATGTTGTTCCAAACAGACAAATAAGACCCCAGATACTGAGAAAAGCCATGCGGTTCTTCCTCCACTCAGGACGGGTGTGTATTTTTATAGCCACAAGGAAAAGCATGACTGCGCCAGAGCTCGTCGCAACTGCAAACAAGCCAATATTAATGATATAATGGGCCAGTCTGCTCCTGTCAGAATTTAACATCCAGCACCTGAAAGGGTGAAAAAATACAGGTTTGCATATTGCATGATTACATCTTAGGGAGTCTTATTTAGTAAACCTACTTACATAAAATACTGACTAGTGATATCTTCATTCCCAATGTTCCTCAAGCCATAAATATCACCTATACAGAGCAATTTACCTACTAGTAGAGCTGGGATTCCTATAGAGGAAATGTAAAGAATTTTATACTTCAATATAAAATCAAGAAATAGAACTTTTTCAAATTTGTAGAACAGAATAATTTATGTTTTTAGCAAACTCACCAAAGCCTGCCAAGTAGAAAACCCACTGAAAAAGCTCTGAGTTGAATTTACAGTAGATGAACGAGAAAATGTGAAACATTTCTACAGTCATCCAACAGAGGGTGCTAAGTAGTGAATAGTGCAGAAGAGCTCCAGTTATCTTGCAAACAGTTTCATTTTCAGCGTTTGCTAATCTGCTGATATAACTCAAGCACAGGGACAAAAAAAAAGTTGCTACAGCCAGTCCACGATGCACCAGTAAAGACGGGTCTTTCTCTCCTCTGAAATACAGAAGAAGAAAAAGATAGTAGATAAAGTAAAAAAAAAAAAATTCACATTTCATGTAAGACAATGAAATCATAGTTACTTGCGTTTATAAGGCCAGAAGAAAAGAACCAAACAGCTCACTAAGGACAGAGCACAGCCCGCAGAGGTAACAATCGTTAGAGCCTTTTGATGGCGAACTGTAGCTCTCACCTATAAAGCAACAATGGAGAAAGTAACACTAGTATCCAAAATAGTTCCTAAATATACCCTCATTCACTATTCCCTACTAGATCAGTCCACTAATATAGTCCACATGAAGGAGTGAATGAAGATAAGGGAAAAGGACACTTCAGAAGGTATTCCATTTTGTTTGTGTTTTAGTGCTTGATAAATCCCTCAGAAGGACTAGAACCTGTAGTCATTTAACGCTTAGTCAGCTGTCTATTAGTAAGAAACAAAGAATTTTGATGTCAGTCATGTATACAAGTGTTACTTTAATTATACAATATTTTATTTTGAAACTTACAGCAAACCTAAACGATTCCATTCAGCCAGGGGTGCCCATTCCTGTTCCTGGAGAAACTTCCTGCAGAGTTCAGCCAAAAATAACTAAACCTACTACGTAGGCCTTGACTTGATTTAAGTTGAGTAAACTCAAAAATGTACTGAAGCAGGTTGCTTTAATATTTTAAGTTGAGTCAAATGTTCTTTCTTTTCTTTTCTTTTTTACAGTGTAGATCTTTAGGAACAGGATTGTTCATTCACTGCACAAACTATTACAGTGCATTTTGGGTATTTTCTAGCTGTTGAGTATGCATGGGTTGTACACTCATTATTGATGGTTTCTTTATTCACATGTAAAGTTTTTATAGTTTTTGCACATATTGCTCATTTATCACCTTGCATTTTAATGTAAACGAATAAATTAATGTTTTCTTTTCCCTAAATGATTTTATTGAATAAAATTTTGACCAAATACACATACTAATCTCTGAGAAAACACTTTGTTTTACACAAATTATATGTGGTATCTATTTAAATTAAGGGCAACGCGGTGGCTCAGTGATTAGCACCTCACAGCGAAAAGGTCGCTGGTTCGAGTCCCGGCTGGATCAGTTGACATTTCTGTGTGGAGTTTGCATGTTCTTCCCATGTTCACTTGGGTTTCCTCCAGGTGCTCCGGTTTCCCTCACTGTCCAAAAACATGTGCTATAAGTGTATTGAATAAACTAAATTGGCCGTAGTGTTTGTGTGTGAATGAGTGTGTATGGATGTTTCCCAGGACTGGGTTGCAGCTGGAAAGGTATCCACTCTGTAAAACATATGCTGAATAAGTTGCCAGTTCATTCCACTGTGGCAACCCCTGATTAATAATTGAATCAATGTACACTGCAATGTTTTTTTCAACATGTCATAATTTTAGGGCATGTGAGCTCCTGAATGATGTTGAAGATGTCCCAAAAGCTATAAAAGGTTAAAATGTCATTTCCAACCCGCCGCCCCCTCCCTCCACCATAAATACTTGCAAACAGTAAAATTTTTAATTTGCTGGTAAATTGTTACAAAGACAAAGGTGAATTTCGAATTGATGTCAGTGGAGGAGAGGCTTTACTGCACTAAATAAACTGAAAACAGCAAATCATATAAGAAGTCACCAAGTACATAAACTATTGTTCTAAAGTATTTGGATTTATCCCCATATTGTAAGGACACTCATTTTAATAATCATTAGAAAAACAATGGAATGTTGCTGGGCAGTATTACAAGACGTGAGCATTAAAAATAATATTGTATTTAAATAATGCAATAAGTAATGAATGTCGAATATATTGGAATTAATTTTGTTCGTCACCCGATAAAGGGTTAAACATTAATTTTGGATAAATTTCTAAAGTTTACATGAAAAATATTGTGTTTTGTTATAGAAGTCACTTACAATTGCTTCATGTATATGGTATAATGTATATTTGTCATGTATTTTCTTTGCTTATAAAAATGCTGTTTACCACTTGAGCAGTGATGTATGCAAAGTGATGACAACGGCACTCTATCTTATTTGCATTTATGATAACTGTCTCACAACCCTCTGATCTCCACTTTTCGACACTGTCTAAAAAGAAAGAAAGAAAGAAAGAATATGAAATGAAATTGGTAATAAAATAATGTTAAGCATTTGATATTAGTTAAGCTTATAAACCTGCATGCACCTTTTCTTGTGTCCCATGAAACACATTGCAAAGTAGACTGTAAAATAAAAAGTCACATTATTAACATCCCTTTGTGTGATTTATGCATATTAACCACACACAGTGGAGATCAAAATTAGAGAACAAATTCTACAAATATTTTTGTTAAGAAATAATGTCATCTTCATTGTTCAGGACTCGAATGGATTTTAAGTTGCGTGTGATTATTTCTATTTTGTTCGGCTTCAAGAGACTAATTTTCCCATTTTGCTTTACCCAGTCTGACAGGACTCATTGTCCTGCATGAAAATTAGCTGACTGTGTGATGAAAGCAGGGAAGGAACTACATGTTGCAGAAGGAGTTTCTGATATACATTTGCATCTACGCTACAATGTAGCTTTATAAGAGTTCAAACTCCTGCTGCAGAAAAAATCACTAAACGACACATCCCAGCAAAGTATTTTGTGTTTCATAAACGTTTAATAGACATCTTAATGTAGAAAGCTTGGCTAAAACAAGGCTAAACTTGTGAAAATCTAATAGACGTCTAGTAGTGATAGAAGTCATTCATTTCTGTTTATTTGATGACTAGTCTAGTTTTGGCCTATTCTTTGAAATCTATTAGATTTTCACTGATAGCGCAAGTTTAGCCTTGTTTTAGCTAAGACGACTATGTTTAGATGTTTAATCTGTTTTTATCTGTTTTTAAACATTTTAATTTTTTTTTCTTATACTTGTCTTTTTTATTCTTGTTTATATAAAGCACTTTGAATTGCCACTGTGTATGAAATGTGCTATATAGATAAACTTACCTTGCCTTGCCTTGCCTTGCGTTAATTGGTTTGTGTTGGGACACCATGAATGAATTATGTAAAACCCACCCAGCATTTTTTTTTTTACAGTGCAGGTGCCAGATTAACACCCCAAACTGGGAGGCATCTGAAAGTGTTTTATGATTTTGATCAGTGATTTGTTTATTAAAGGATTTCATTTAAGTCTTCATACTGTGCTTCCGAATATAAGTAACTGCTCTTACTTCAAATTGCAGTGACCTAAATCTTTAGGAAATTGCAGGATGTTCTATAATTTTGATCTTCACTTTAACATTATGACACAGTAAGAAACAGGCCTACTGGGAGAGCAGAGTGATGAAACCGGATTCTGACAGGTTCTGGGAGATTTTCGATGGTCTCATCCTCTACAGAGAGTCCAACAATTTCATCTAGAGCTCCATCAGATGATCCTATCTATATGACACAAATGCTGATGATTAATACAGTAGATGTGTGTATTGATAAAAATAATCCACATTATTTATTTTTGCTTGAAGAATTAATACATTGTCAAAGAGTTGATTGCGATTGTGCTCAATACACAAACACAAATATTGATGTATCATATTGAACATATATTGGTATGGATATGGAAGCTAAATATTCCATATGATTTCTTTCTGTTCATCAAATGTCACCATCATACCTCAAATAACGTCTTGTTCTTGTAGTAAATGTACACCACTATGGATCTGCTCCTTGATACAGATTTCAGGCTTGATGGAATATAAACAGAGGGTATGGTGTTTGCGTCTACAAATCGAGGGGCCTGAATGCAACACATAAGTATATTATTGCAAATGCTAGAAAGAGACCTTTCTGCGAATGCTTCTAATAGAGTCAAAATCATTTACAGGCACGGTGAAATTGTGTCCTGTGAATTCCTCGTTCATCTCAATGACTGTGCCCTGAGCACAAGGTAGATCCACACGACCCTTTGCATTGGATCTCATCACTACTTCCTCTATCCTGCAAACACACACAAACAAATGGATTTTGATGTGACCACGCTACAACAGATGCACAAATGTTATTATACAAGTTATCTGTTCAGTACATTTATCCTGTTTAAATTCTGACATTATTTACTCTCCATCCACTTGTTTTGTTGTTACTTGTTTTGTTTGTGTCTTGTGTGATGTTTATAGATTTTATGCTGCACCAATAATTGCCTATTTGCCTTTAATCTAAAAGTCAAACTTGTTAATTTAATTGTAAAATGCTGGAAACAAAGTATTTTCATCTGTATATAAACACACAGTTAAAGTCAGAATTATTAGCCCCCTTTGATATATTTATATATATATATATATATATATATATATATATATATATATATATATATATATATATATATATATATATATATATTTTTTTTTTTTTTTTTTTTTTTTTTTCCCAAATGATGTTTAACAGAGCAAAGAAATTTTCACAGTATGTCTGATAATATTTTTTCTTCTGGAGAAAGTCTTATTTGTTTTATTTTGGCTAGAATAAAAGCAGATTTTAATTTTTTAAAAACCATTTTAAGGCTAGCGCGATAGCCTAGTGGTTAGCGCGCTGACATATGGTGCAATAGCACGTCAGGGCGTCGTTAGTTCGAACTCTGGCTCGTCGACATTAACCTACCCCCTCTCTCTCTCTCCCACTTCGCTTCCTGTCTCAATACTGTCCTATCTAATAAAGGCCAAAAATAAATCTTTACAAAAAAAAAAAAAAAAAACATTTTAAGGTCAAAGCTATTGGCCCCTTTAGGTTATATATATTTTCAATAGTCTACAGAACAAACCGTCATTATACAATAATGTACCTAATTACCCTAACTTGCCTAATTAACCAAGTTAAGCCTTTAAATGCCATTTTAAGCTGAATATTAGTGTAAAACAAAATGAAATTATTAGAAATGAGTTATTAAAACTAAGTTTAGAAATGTGTTGAAAAAAATCTCTCCGATTAACAGATATTGGGGAGAAAAAAATAAACGGGGCTAATAATTCTGACTTCAACTGTATATATATAAAAATGTTTTCATTTTCCACACTGTAAAAACTTCTGGTTGCCTTATATTTTTAAGCTGAATCAAACAAACCTTATGAGTCCATTGAACTTATATTAAGGTAAACTGACTTGTGTAACTTTTAACTTGTGTAAATTAGGTTAGAACATGATTAACTTAGATCAGGACTAATTGATCATATATATATATATATATTTTTTTTTTTTTACAGTGTGGGCCTTATGTGTTGCTGGGTCAACTTCAAGTCAGACGAGGTTCCTGTTAGACAATGTCACGCCAATAAAAATTATTATTTTCAGGGCAACTTCTGAAAATAATTTTTGAAAAAAAAAAAACCAACAACTTCTGTTCAGTTATATGGAAAAAGGTGAGTAAATTCTCAATTTAGGGTGAATTACCTTTTTACTGCATCAAATATCATTAACTGCCTTGTAGTTTTATGCATTACAAATGAACGTGCAAGCCATTGTAGCAATGGGTACGGCTTCCTGTTTGTGGCTTTTCATGATCATTTTGCACAACACAACATCACTTCAGCCCAGTTGCACAGTATAAACACAACCACTGTGTAATAAGAATCTTAAATTTTACCAACTAGCACTTAGTCAAGGAGTAATCAGTCTTATTATTCTGATTAAATTAATTAAATGAATCTTTTACTAAGTGAATTGAAAAAGTTTTTGACGACTGTCAAAGAACAAAACACATAGATGACTAACTTTTTAAAATTATCCTTAGCCATTAATGCCACTTGCTGCTCTTTCTATGCGAGAGACAAACTGCAATCAGTTTATATAACTGAAGTATAGTGAAACTACCAGACAGATAAAACATGACTGGCTCACATGTTTGCTCCTCTGGGCTTCAGACTTGCCTCATCACAGAACTTCTCCTCTGTAAGTGAGAAAACAGATAAAGGAAATTGAAACTAAACCAATGACACTCAGAACTCAAAATGAGCTCAGTAAGTGTTTCTTTTTTTGACAGCTGTAGTTTGCATGAATCACAAAAGCCAACATTTAATGATGTGTGTAAAATTGTTAATTCATCAAGCACAACCACCTTATAAATAATAAAATCATATATTTATGTTCTTACTGCAGTTGATTTGAGCCCCATCAAATGTGTAGTTTCTCTTGAGATCACCTGTGATGACATCACCTTTAACACTGCCATTCACAATACCATACATATGAGCGTTTTCTTGAACTCCTTGATAGAGGTCAGTGCAGCAGGTTCCTTGGAGGCCGTTTGGTTTACATAGAGTGTGATTCTTGCCATTGACCTCCACTATCAGCAGGTCCAGCAGCGGCTCCCAGAACACACAGAAATGACTTTGATTCTGATGAGGATTTGAATCTAGTTGAATGGATGAAGATTGTGTGCACTTGGCTGTGATCCTGCCCTGAATAGAGAGCGTAATCTCATTGGCTGAAATTTCAATTCTTTCACAGCCGGTTTTCAAATCATATTCCAGATTTCGAGGTGCGATGCCATGGAGCCACTTTCCACACATATTGAAGTCTCTGTCATTATCTGTTGCCGCTACATGGACAGGCATATTAAATTAATTCATAAAAAGAAATGACTTAACAAATACACACATAAAAAAAACATATTTCTATGACATTTCCTGCTAGTATAATAGAACATGTATATATTAAATTCTTAATTTATATGCTATTATAATTTTATATAATAATTAATTTATAAATAAATCACCTACCTAGACCCACAATCAATAAAAGACATGAGATCAGCAGCATTCTCACAGCTTTTAGATTCTGCTTCATAAACATTACCTGAAAATAAAAATGTGTGGCACTTTAACTGAAGGGGTTTTCAAGAAACCTTTAAAATGATCATGTCATGAATGTGAATGAGATTTAATGAGATGTCATGCTTATGAAAACTGTCATTAGTGTCATTAACTCAGTTATGTCATTTTAAATGCAAAGGTGACATTGTTTGAGAATGTCATTATGTAACTTGGCATAAACAAATACACCAAAACCTTTGTCTTTGTCATGACAACTTGACAAATTAATAAGACAACTTGTCATAAATCTGTCATAAACATAAATTTTATAGCAGTGTCATTAATATTTTCATCCTTTTGCCTTTTTTTTTTTTTTAAACATTTGCTTATCTGAACATGTATATAAAATAAAGCACACATATACATAGTAAGTATTTTGGGGGGTTTGTTGCAATATCTAGCCAATTCCATGCATGTTTAATAAAAATGTCAGGAGAGTATTTTCTTCATTGTCAAAATATTAGTAATTTATTAGATACAAATTAATAATTTGATAACAGAGTTCTGGGTTACACCAATGCAGTACAATAACTACATTCGGAAGGTTCGCAACAATTCTACATTTCCCTGACTCCAGTATTTATACACAGCTGATATGAAAAGGTGAAATTTTGGTGGAATTCATCACTTGTCAATCATTCCTTAGTACTGCACCCAAACATACTTCCTCTTTTCTACGAATTCTTTGCACAACATTAAAGGCATACAGTAAGACTTCTCAACTGCAAACATTCTGTGTTCAGTTTCAGGACATCTTTGCTTAACAGGAAAGCTAGGTGACAATTTAAAGTTATTTTTTTTAGATTTTGATGCGCCTTTCCAGTAAGCTGTATCTACTTCTGGAAAAATGTTTAATTAGTTTGCAAACTGTATCACACTTAGAAAAGAAGTTTGGTTAATATATCACCAGGCAAAACATATTTATAGTAAATAATAAAAGACACAACAATAATGAAAAAAAGCATTCATTCTGTTTCCCCCCAACAGTTAGTGCCGTTAAATAATCTTTTATGTAGCATAGGTCATAGTTTGTTTCCCAACCCTGTTCCTGAAGGCTCACCAACAGTCCACATTTTCAACCCCTTCCTGTTCATACACATCTGAATTAAATCATTAAAACATTAGAAGAAACTTGGGAACCTGAATTGAATTGGTCAAATAGAGGAGACATCCAAAAAATGAACTGTTGGTGTGCCTCCAGGAACACAATTGGGTAATTATAACCAATTCAAGTGTACAAGTTTTAAAAGGACGACTTAGCAGAAAGATGATTATTTCCTATGCCCGATTTGGTAAAATTCCATCAAAATTTGGCCACCAGAAATGATTACAGAATTTTTATAATGAAGGCAAAATCAAGTGTTTTTTTCTTGCCCTTTTAATGAGTGAGAAAGCATACCAGGCATGCAGACAAGGTCAAAACCATCATGTTTTGTGCAACAGTTTCTGTTATATAAACATGTCTTAAAAAATAAAGTCTACTTACATCACCATTGGGTATGACTTGATGAAGATCTGCTGATCTGTATCCCATTGATGTGTCGTCTCTCACTTATCTAATCTGATATAATGGTTAAAGGAAAACCCAATGACAATATTGAGAATTGTTCTTTGCAAATAAATGTACTGTTGGTAAAACTCAAACAGTTAATAATTAATGAATGAATAAGAGAATTGATAGCGTCATATTTTATACCTCTACATACAGACATGAAACACTTCCCTCTTCATCGACCATGAGAAGCAGATACTTTTAACTGACTCCAACGAGCCCTCAAACCACATTTTAATCACCTATTAATAGAGCAACACACAAACAAGGCACACCAAAACTTAAGCCAACCATAGAAGCTTATTCATATGGAAATGTATGTTTTGACTTGGTGAATTTAAAAGCTTTGATAGAACAAAAAACCCACAATTATGGTTCATATTTAGATGCTAAAAACTATTAAACTGTTAATATTTTTAACAGGGTGGACTATTCTTTTCATGTGGCTCAGTAAATAAAATCCCCAAAACGATGAAAAGTGTGCCTATTCAATCTTTCTTTCTAGCTTTGTTTTCTTTCACTGTGGCCATGCTGTCTCGGTTTGGTTAGATTCTTGGCTGTGAGAATGAGCTCATCTTGTGTTCCATTAACATAATGTCACATTAATCTTGTTTGAAAGGCGAACAGAGTCTGTGCAACTTGTGTATTTTGGGACAGAGTTGCTGGGTGGAGTACAGGTGTGATATATTTATTATGGGTCCCAGCTTTATAATATTTTTTTTTCAGCCTGAAAAGCACATAAGGAAAAATAGGGTCATTTATTTCCAGCAGTGGGAGTTGGACCATGTTTGCTGCGCAAAGGATGGGTGTGTTCTGATGAACCGTTTAGAGGAAGAAAACATTGTGTAAGTCCAGAATGAAGTTTTAAAACAAATATTCGTGAAGAGATTCACAGAGATCATGAAAAATGTTTGTATTTTTTCAAACTGCGAAATTAAAAAACTGTGTAAAGAATATATCAAGACTAAGTTTTGTCCTATATATCATTTAAACTTGTTGCAAAGATTTTGGAAAAATACATAAGCCTACTATTGAAATTTTAGAAACTTTAGTGACAGTTTATTTTGATGTTCTGCTTTACATATTATGTTGACCAAAAACTTTACAACTACTACATGTAACGGTCCTTTTGCAGTTAAACCATGGTAACTACACATTAACCATGGTTTTGCTACACTTACCATGGTTTAACCAGTGGTGGAGAGAGTACTGAAAAATCGTACTTCAGTAAAAGTACCATTACTTGCCCAAAAATGTAGTGTAAGTAAAGTAAAAGTGTCTTGTAAATATTACTCAAAATATGAGCACATTTTAAAAGTACTCAAGAGTAGTGAGTAGTGAGTATTACACTGTGAAAAGCTGATGCATTTACTGTACATGTAATTTGTGGATTTGTGCAAACGTAACATTCTGTAGTGCATTTAATTATTGCCCAGGCACACAATGTCATAAGAAGTTATTATTAGGTTAGATTTAGGTTGTGATGTCAGGTGACCAAAATTCATTATCTATCCAGCATCCGAGGACAACGGTATTTTGATGTCCAATAACAAGGTCAAATGATGTTGATATTTGGTTGATTGTAGGTTGTGTAAGAAGGTGACCAAAATCGTGGTAAAGTCCACAAAACGTCAAGCTGTAACTTCATTAGACAATAAAATTTGGTTAATTTAAGGTTGGCTGTTGGACATTGATTTGACATTAGTTTCTGATGTCTACAAGATTTTCATTTCCAAACAAAATGCAACGTCCCCACGACGTTGGGGTACAACGTCAATCTGATGTTATGTTGATGTTTTGTGTCTGCTGGGTGTTTAAGGCCATTTCGGTCAACATACAGTAAAAATCCATCATTTTCTCATCAGTGACATGCATCCTAACAGTTTCTGGGTCAATGCATGTAAAGATTTTGGACATCTTGAACACTTTTAATGCTACCAGACAGTTTGCTGTAAGTATAAAGCGCTCATGTCTTGATGGAGTTCATTACGATGCGATTTATCTTCTATGTGCGATTGGATTGGACAGGACTGATTTTTCTGATCCCCCATAGACAGGAAAAAATAAGGTAGTGACTGCAGGTTGAAGGAAAGTAGTGGAGTAAAGTACCAATACTGCACTAAAAATGTACTCAATGAAAAGAAAAATACACATTTTTAAAACTACTTAGTAGTTTACAATTTCTGAGGAAAAACTACTCAATTACAGTAGTTTGAATATTTTAAATTTGTTACTTTACACCAGGGGTCACCAATCTTGGTACTGGAGGACCAGTGTCCCTGTTAAACTGGTCATAGCCTATAAGTACGTCAAACATCTACTGCATTTTTACTATAATAAAACCCATAATTAGGTAATCATTGGGATATTAGTAGACTTTCTGCTTGTTAGCACTTAATTTTGATGCTCCCCAAAAGACAATCTATTTTTTTGCAATTACGTAACAGCTTACGATATGAATATTTGCTATAATCAGATTGGAAGCACATGACGAGTTGTTACAAACATATAGGCCTATTCGACAAACATACAAATTCAAACCTATATTTAGAATTGTTATTGATTAATACGCTCAGATTTGGCAGTTTTACATGTTTGTAGTCAGTTCATTCTTCTATACCTGAGGATATGTCTCCGCCTAGAGGATTTATAAATAACTACAGGAAGTTCTTCAGCGTGCTTTGTGAAGAAATTTTAGATTTCAGTTTCACCCAGCAGGTGCCTATACAGCATGATAACAGCTAATGCTGTGTACGAATATGTTGTAAAAAATATTAATAAATGCTTTAATTAGCCTCCAATGTGCTCTTTTTAAAAACTATAAATCTTACTTTATCGTCCACCCGTGCTCTCTGGTGACTCGCGCTAAATGAATCCAGTCTCACAAACTCTTTCCCTCTGCTACCAATTACACTGCTCTTTACACCCCTCTTGTCTCACACCATATCCAGTGGGGGTGATTTTCAGAATAGAGACCCTCCTAATGCTGAAAGGACGGAGAAAGATGCAGCTGCTTTGGCAGGAGGCCTTATCTGCTGCCTGCACAGTTTGTTCATGGATAATCTACGCTGCCACAATTCATCAGATCAAACCTGTAGCTTTGGAACCAGCGCTCGTGTTTGTGGTTTAGTAGAAGTTAAATAGGCTGGATTCAAAAACAGCATTACTGTGTTGCAGGATGATGTCATGAAATGTGTCTGGATTTTTGCACTGTTTCTTGTTTCCAGTGAACAAACAGACAAAATGTATACTTTGAATACCATGTGTTTGATAAAAGTGTCTGTCAAAGGTGCAAAAAACAATGTCAGACAACACAATGTGCATCACAAAACACTTGTCTATCCATTCATTCATTAGAGTTTTTCACTCTTTTACAGCATCGTCATAGAAGAAAACACTTTGGGTTCCCAAAGCGCATGAACAGAGCAAAGAACATTTCAATATTCACAATTCCACAATAAAGAACCTTACTTGGAATAAAAGTTGTTAAAGACGTTAAAACCATTCTATCAATATCAATGCAATGCTGGTTTGGAACAAGTCAAATATGAGTGAATTATGACAGAATTTTCATTTTTGGGTCCAATTTGCAAATTTGCAATCCAAAACAAATCCTTAATTGTGTGATGTCTTTAAGATTATTTTACTAATTGCAACTAAATTGGAAACTAGAGTTGGAGACTGAACCCAAATCATAAACATAAAATATGTCGGACAACCAGTGACTGGACTTCCATTGCAAAAGGTCAGGGGCGAACTTAACCAATAAGCAAGGTAAGCAACCGCTTAGGCCCAAGAAGCCTACTAATCATCCTAAAGCTGTTTTATAAATGTTGTAAAATCTGTCTATAACCAATAAGATTTTAACATTATTACTTCTTTTCTAAACCAGGGGGCCCCATGAATAGTGTAACATTCCTTTAATACTGCACATGCAAATATTAAAATCTAATCACAAATCACTGGTATGGCTAATTAACTGTACATAGTTCGTGAGCTTGCTTTTTATTTGCGAATATATTAATATATTGCGAATATTTTTTTTTAACATGCAGTTTATTTACAAAAAAATTAAAAATTAAAGAAATTAATCTAGAGAGAAAACACATATCTATAGAGAAAGATTGTTTAGAGTTTCAGGGCCCCATATCTGGAATTGCTTAGGGCAGGGGTGTCGAAACTTGTTCCTGGAGGGCCAGTGTCCTGCATAGTTTATTTCCAACTTGCTTCAACACACCTGCCTGGAAGTTTCTAGTATACCTAGAAAGAGCTTGATTAGCTGGTTCAGATGTGTTTAATTAGGGTTGGAACTAAAACTTGTAAAACACCGGCCATCCAGGACCAAGTTTGGACACCCCTGGCTTAGGGCCTCCAAAGTACTAAGTCCGCCTCTGCAAGGCGGTAATAAGAATGATAAAGATTTGCACAATGATGTTATTTCTTTTATAACTGAAACATGGCAGCCACCAACATTTCACAAAAGAGTTGTATAGACAAGCAAGATGACCTTGGCCAACTGCATGCATGCCTTTATAATGTGTGCATGAGCTATCATAGAGTATGCCAAGATTCAAAATCATAAATGCATGCCAAATCATAAATATGAAATATGTCTCACAATCTCCACTCTTGACTGGTCTTCCACTGCAAAATGCAATAAGAACGATAAAGAGTGTTTATTGCAAAAAAGAAAAAAAAACTTACACACTCTTTGAGATGTTATATCCCTATGTAGCATATTTGCTCTATAACAGACTCTGCATTGTTAATATAAATTAGACTGTCATAAGAAACTGCTGAAATATGTCAAATATAATACAATATACTTTAAGAAAATTCTCTCTTCCATCATTGTTCTGCAGGGGTGTCCAAACTTGGTCCTGGAGGGCCAGTGTTTACCTTAAACCCCAAGTAGACACACCTGAACCAGCTACAGCACGTTCTAGGTACACTAGAAACTTTCATGCAGGTGTGTTGAAGGAAGTTGGAGCTAAACTATGCAGAACATGAGCCCTTCAGGACCAAGTTTGGGCACCCTTGTTGTACTGGATTTAAGTATTAACCTAAGAAAAGTCTCTAATGCAGGTATCTTGCCGAGCTTAGGTCCACATCCAATTCACCATCAAACACACCTGAACAAGCTAATAAAGGTCTTAATAGGTACATTTGAAAAGTTCAGGCAGTTGTGTGAAGGCAAGCTGGAAGAAAACTCTGTAGGCACACTTCAGGACCGAGATTGGTGGGCCCTATGGTAGGCTAATGAATCAAAAATTATACAAAACATGCATCAGCTTCATATCTCAGGCATTTAATTTCCATAAATTTATTATTTATGTAGTTTTATTAAATAAATCACATGGCATTCATTACAATGAACGTCTTAAATTACCCTTTAGCTTTCACTGCAAAAGTTCTTGTAATATTTGATTCTATCATTTAAAAGGACCAATCCTTTTCAATTTATTGGTTTCTCTCATGCATTTAATTTTCACAAGGTCCATTTAATAAAACTACATAAATAATACTAATTACATAAATAATAATAATAAAATTTATTTTTTATGTAGTTTTATTAAACTAATCAAAATGTTTGGCACACATAACAATAAACTTTTTAAATTCCCCGCTACCTTTGGCAGAAATATTGGCTAAATGTAAATCCACTGAACAGTGGTGTTGACAAAAAGCTTCCAGGCTGGAAGTTTGGTGACGGTGAAGGCGCCGCCCCCGCTCCGTCCTGATATCCCTCCCCTTCCATCCTCCGCTCACATTGCTCTTCCCTTCGGTGGGAAAATTCCTGCTGGAACATCCGTGCTGCATTTGAACTCGGGAATTGTAGCGGAAAAGCAGGAATCTGCAGCACACGCCGGAAGATTTTATCGCATGTTCTTTCCCATATCGTTCAGGTATGTGCACACGCTAATTGCTTCTGGTACTATCACAGCTGTATTGTTGTGGATTAACCGAACAGCAGTGTCGAGTGACATTCAACACGACAGAAATGTGCACGCAGACGTCGTTTGTGAACATGCTGAACTTCCCAAATATCCAGTTTACCCGTGAATTGCGGTGCTGTTTACCTTAGAGCCGATGTATTGCTGTTAAAAACAGTGTCTTGTTACTTTCAGTCACGTCGTAGGAAATGTAGTTAGTGTGGATAATGACTGTTTAGAGGGTTGAAATAGAAAGTTTGTGGACGTTTCTTTTGTTGGTAGGTTTACAGTCTCTGTTTCTGATGTAAGACTTTATATTCGCGTTGTTTATTTGATTGTAAAGTAAACATGTAAGTTACAAAAGCTTAACTTAATTTGGAATATGAATAACAATTACACTATTTCGACCAAAGTCCACTTCATTTACAAGCCATGGTCATTCATTCATGTTCATGTTGCACACACTTAAATGTAATCCACTGACTCAAAGCAGTACAAATGTAGACTTTTAAAGGAGCGTGGTTGTAAGTACAGGGATATTGGTATTTTCTTAAAGAGGTCAGGGATATTTAATGCAGCTCTGTCAAACTAAATTGTGCATACTACAGCTGAGGTACATCTTTTCTTGTCATTGACTGGCTAATGACAGTAGAAATACAGGGCTTTTAGAATCATGACATCTGTTTTCCTCCAAGCTGGGTTGTCCCCTTATACGCCCAAATGAAATGCAGGTAAAAGAAAAAAGAGGGCATCCTCTGTACAAAACCAGTGTTAATTGGAGGTCACACAAGTTACATGAAGCCACAGCTAGGCTCAGTTTTTCCACATTCAGAATAGCAAATCCCTAACCACAGAGAAATATATTTTTGGTGAAATATATTCTCTAATAGTTGTCAGAGAAGGCTATTTAGCTAATTTATAGCAATGCAGCAATATTGTCTTGCTTCCTAAAAACACATGTGTATCCGAAGGGATGATTTGTAAATTACAGAAGGAAAGAGTTGGAGAAATAAGGCATTTGTTCTACTGGGATTGGAGTTTCACATTGACTTTAGTTTCTTTTTCTTGTGTATGTCTTCATGTTTCTTTTTATTTAATTTTTTCCCTTTCACATCTGGAGCACTCTGGCCGCCACCACAGATGTAGTGATTTCTTCTTCCTCCTCTGCATCACTGCATGAAAACAGGAACAGTCAAGGCCACACCGAGCCTGGTCCATGTGGCCGCCCAAAACCACGACCAGCCCAACTGCAATTGCAATGACCAGTTGTGCTGTCAGGACCAGATTGAGTTTGAATATAGTTTGTCAGTTCCAAGGACGTTGGTTTTATTCATAAAATGTTCTGGCTCTTTGGATTTCCTTCAGAATAGTTCACCCAAAAGTGAACCTTCTGTTAATGTGGTCTGTTAAGTTCCAAGAAATGTCACAAAAATTACTCCATGTGACTTCTATATTTCAGTATTCTTAAACTACTTAAAACTCTGCATAAATATATGTCTGAACATGCCTACTTTTATACTATAAATTAGTCAAAAGCATTAGATGAAAAATACCTTGATGATCTTCTAGAGTCCACATACGATGGACACTTTACTCCCATTAGGGTTTGTGACATTAAATGAGGCATGACAGTTGCAAAATGTATTATGTGTGGATTTCATGATACACACATTCTTACCTATCAGAACATACATTTTAATCATTGCAGAGTAAGTTTTAAACTAAATTTTTAAACTTAACCTTATTCTGCAATGCGGAAGTAAACATTTTTTTCAGTTGAATAGAACTTCTGATGGGAACAATGACAGGGAATCATAAACAGCAGAAAATGGTCAAACTGCTTACTCTACAAACAAGTGTGTTCATTACTATACTTTAAACGAAAATATTATCATGAAAAAAAATGGCTGTTTTTAACATCTAAAAATCAATTGATGTGTGAATAAGACCAGAAGTCTCGAGCCAAAATGATTCCCTGCTTGTACTTAATAAATAAAGGTCAATATTGTTTGCGCCGAGACCAGTGTCTATCTCTGAAAATTGAATACAGAAACAATTTGTGAAGATTTGGTTCCTACAACATGATCTTTGATGTTTGTCTTTAACATATCTGACTGACAACATTAACATTAAAAATGTAATTCATTGGGCTTTACCAATTTGTTAGCATATATGCTACAGTATGTGCTTCTAATACAGTTTTTATTTTTAAAGCCATTTGATCGTTTAATCTGAGGAATAGATGGAAATTGAGGTCATTATTCACTGACTGACTAATTCGCTGGTCACACACTTTAAGAAAATGGAGGAAATCCTCAAGTGTGTGTGATGCCATTAAGATTATTTTACTGATCACAATTGAGTTGTAGCCTTCCAGTTTGACTGGTCTCTTGACTGGTCTTTCATTGCTAAAGAAATAAAAAATTATAAAGTTAAAAAATGGAAGACACAAACATTTTACAAAAGTGCATGCATGAGCATCATATAATGCATGCCAGGAGAACAATCTGATGATGATGATCCTTCTCCATAATTTTTTTTTTCCTAAAGTCACATTTAATTGTTTGAGTTTCTGTGAGAACTCATGTTAGTGGAACTGGCACTGTCAAATTTCTGCTCTAGCTGGCAGTTATTTTTTTCTGGCGTTTGGATGATTATAATGTTAATGTTAATTAGTTGACATTGTCCTTATGTCTGTGGTCTTTATGCTTTGTAGTCTAAAAAAAAGCGTCAGGGTTTCCATGAATTTTTAAATGGTCCTTTGCACGTTGAAAGTCATATATTTAATTTATTTCTTTTTTCAAATCTTGAAATATCATGGATTTTTGTTTGCTGTTTAAATTTTTTATCCCATTTAATTAAATGTATTTTTTGTAGACCAGTGTTTTGTTTTTTTGTTTTTAAAGCACATTCTTTCACATTGTTATAGGCATTATTTGATTTGATAAAAATTAGTGGAAATGTTGGAGACAAAGTCTTGACACAATTAAATTACATTGGTCACGTCACTCTCTAATGTGAAAAATACTAGGTCATGGAAATTCAGGGAAAAGTCAGTGAAGTTGACATTTGTTGGAACCCTGAAACCCTGAACAAATATTTTTTACTTTCATTTTTCTGGGCAGCTTTATCATGTTTTGCTGAAAGGAAGATAGAGATGTGAAAAGAAAGCTGGGATAGAGAGAGGGGAGTGGGATCGGAAAAGAACTGCGATGTGGGAGTTGCCATGAGTGCATTTAAAATGTATATGGCTGTGTATTTAGGCACAAGATTAACTGATGCACTAACATAATTAAAATCAGTCATTTACAAAGCAGTTAGAGGATTTAGGAACCGCAATATTTTAATACAGTGTTAAATAATTGAGATTTGAGATTGCATTTTTAATTTTGTGATTATATCGTTAGTGTTTTAAAAGATGAACATTTAAGTGAACGTTAGATGATGGCAAATGCAATCTAAATGGGTAAATAATCATGCGCAATTAAATACCTAATTGGCTATTCACCATTATGTAACAATATACAGTATGGTGCATGTCTGTTTAATGTTTTTTTGAAAATGAACAGCAGGCGAGTTTGGATCAACACGAGCATGAATAAATAATGCCAGAATTGTCAATTAGGGCAAGCTATTTCTAAAATCAAAACACAGGCATATGGCGGTTTAAATGATACACTTGAATTTGAGCTCAGCCAAGTGCGGTGCTTCTGTAATGGAGCTGTTTCTGTTTTCAGGTGTGTCGAGTGCCTTCATCAGCTTGATTTAATTAGACGTCTTGTTTTGGGCTGGAGGTCAGACCTGCCAGACCCCCTCCCTCCCCCCTCCCCTCCCTTTCAACTGTCAACCTGGCAGTGGTCAGCAGATGGTGGATTGCTTTGTGAAATACCTCCGTAAGCTACTGAGCCTCCCTCCTTCTCTGGGAATTCGCTTTGCTGATGGTAGCGCACCAAGCGTGGAGGCATCTAGCCAGACAGATGGAAGGTGAAAAAGCACGACTGCCCCTACTGCACCTCATTTTCCCTGAAAAGAGAGCAAGTCGTGTGAGTAGTTGCTATGGCGACCTCACATTTTCAGGCAACTCGGACCCCATCTGCTTGCAAACGTGCATTTGTACGCTGAGATTGTCATATTGCCTTTTGTGTACGTGCTTCTGTTTGCTTTTTGATTGTGAGAAGCTTTGTCTAAGCTCACGTACAAAAACCACATCCTTGTTTTACGTACCGCAAGCTGCATTTTTCCTGTAGGGTAGCTAAATCAAACAGGTGATGTTTTATATGCCAGTGTATTGCTACTGTTTTGATTTGGTGCAGGCTTGTTGTCTTTCTTAGAAATGCAGCTTTTCTAGCTTGCATGCTGATTTGACAGTGTACCGACAGTCATTGCCTGTCAAATGTATTCTGGTGGTCCACACCCATCCCCTAACCTCACCTTGAAAATCTCCGGTTCCCTGTGTTCCCCCTCCCTCTTTCATGGGCTGTAATCGGTTTTGGAACGCAGGCTCTGGCTGAAATGTTCCTGTTTCACACAGCTCAGGCATGTGCGGACAGAATTAAGTGTCTACAGGAGACCTTTTCCACCTAAATGATTGATTAATCTCTGAATGTGAAATACAAACTCCCTGATAGCAGATCAGCAGGAAACCGAAATGCGGTCGTCAAAATGGAACTTATCGTCCTGTCATTTGACAACCCTCCTGAGGTACCTCCTCACACCCCCACCGTGATAATTGTGGCCAACTCTGAGGTCTGTCTGACCACAGCACTTTTATGCGGCCCCTTGACAATCCCTCGCTTTCGGATACAATTTCACATTCTCTGGCTGTTTTGTAAAGTCACAGGATTTATTTGTGCAAGCTCCTAATTAGAAGTGGCAGCTATAGCTCATGATTAGCATTTCTGTGATGTGCTGTGGATAAGGGGTTTGGTGCTGTTGAAGCATTGAAACCTGATGGGGAGCCGATGATTACTGAT